GTTGTAAAAGGAAGCCCTCCGCCTTTTCTTTCCTGTGCTCTCCTTTGTCTCTTTCTACAATTTCTTATGTCAAACTGGTGGCATATTCTGTGGCATTTAAAGTTGACTAGCCAAAAAATATTTACTAAAGCATTTTTTATTGAAATCTTTCATCTCTGGCTTTGTCCTACGTGGGTTCTGGTTCATAAACAGGGGAGAATTAATACTTCCAATATGTCTCAGGTTTTTTTTTCCCTTCCCTCACTCCAAAGGGAAAAGGGAATCATAAAGTTTTATTAAAGTATTAAAGGGAATTATAAAATGGGTAATTTCTTTTTTAAGGGTATATTCTAAGTATGTGTGTGTTGGTTTATTTTTTGTCTGGGCAGCTAGAACTTTGAATAGCTTACGGTTCCCATGTCATAGAGCAATGTTATACACCTCATTCATTATGATCTGTCAGCTGGTGTAGAATGTTTTAAAAAGAAAAAAGTTTAGAAAACATTACAGGGTTATCTACAAGTGTATCTGAAGTGTTTTTGGTTGTGTGTTTTGAAAATATATCATAAAGAATATTTAGGATGTTTGAAAGCATGATTATTATGGTATTTTTTCCCTTTTTGAAGCAGTATACCATTGGTTTATAATGCTCAGTAACTTGTCTATCTTCAAAGTCACCCGGACATGTTTAAGGTATGAGTAGGCAGTAAGATCAGCTTATTAGTGCCCTCTAGTGGGAAGTCTTACACTGCCTGTCATTTTAGGAAAAGGGATAGAGAAAGGAAACTTGATGATATGGAAAGAAATGCCTCCACAATCAAAAAAAGAAAAAAAAAAGTGGGGACGGGAATCTCCAAATGGAAGAGAACACACATTATGAGACATAGGAGAGACTGACGAAATCTCATTCACAATTTTCAAAGGCCAAAAATGGCTGTGGAAACAGTCTTGAAAATGCCTTCATTCCTTCCCTCGCACTGGGGTATTAGACACTTGTGAGTGAAAATGGTAAAATGTTCCAATCCTGTGAGTAGGTTTTATTATTGTCCTGGATATAAAATGGAGATCTTTGAGATTCCACAGTTGAACTTTGTGGGGTCAGTCAGCCACTACAACAGCTCTGTATTAATAATCATTATAATCTTTGTAATAAATAAAAATGATACAGTGGCAATGTACAGCAGGTACGGGTCTTGCCTTGCACGTGACCTACCCAGGTTCAACCTCCAGCATCAAAGGCATCACATATGGTCCCCTGAGCCTTGCCAAGGGTGATCCCTGAATGCAGAATCTAGAGAAAGCCCTGAGCACAGCCAGGTGTGCCTCCCTCCCCCCCCCCAAAAAGTAAAGAAATAAAGAAAATACAGGGGCTGGAGCAATAGCACAGCGGGTAGGGCGTTTGCCTTGCACGCGGCTGACCCGGGTTCAATTTCCAGCATCCCATATGGTCCCCTGAGCACTGCGAGGAGTAACTCCTGAGTACAGAGCCAGGAGGAACCCCTTGCATCACCAGGTGTGACCCAAAAAGAAAAAAAAAAAGAAAATACATGTTTCTAACATTTTGATAGATGTATGATAATTATCTCTTCCACTGTGCAAAGGTCAAAGACTTGGACTTTAAAATACCATTAATGGTTTATATCTGGATTTTAGTACATTGAAAATGTTTCATTGCTTAAAGCAAACATGGTCCAAGATGCTCGAGTTTCAGGGAAAGATATATGTGCACCGGGTGCATGTGGAGAAGTATTATTAAACTTAGTATATTAGTATATATTATGATGCATTGTCTTTCTAAAGAATGTCTCATGAACACATTTCCTTAATTATAAAGTTCTCTTTAGAAAACTGGGGACAAACCCTTGATTCCAAATTCTGTATTTCTATTCTTAATGACTCTTGTTGTTGTTGTTACGCAGCAATGGTTTAATGGTTACAGAGAAATTTCTAGAATAGTTTCTCATGTCAACATTTCTCACCACATTACGCAGAATTTTCCAGTTGACTATCTTCCCTTCCTCAAATCCAAACTGAAATCTCAGAAATAGAGGCAATATGTCCACTTTTGTTTACAAAGTACAGATACTTGTTTCTGTATTCCCTTCATGCATTTTTAATGTTGCCTGAACCTGAAACCGCACAGCCAGAAAATAAAACATAAGATAGTTTGCCTAGAAGAACATTTGCTCTATGAAGTAACTGTCACTAAATACTTTTGGACCAAGAGAGTGGTAACTTTAAGATGACTCTGCATGATATTTCTGCCAAAGGAACTTCAGTAAAGTTTAGTTAGGCCCTCCCGTTGATCGTCGATTTGCTCGAGCGGGCCCAGTAACGTCTCCATTGGAGACTTTGTTGTTACTGTGTCTGGCATATCGAATACTCTCGGTAGCTTGCTGGGCTCTCCGAGGGGGGCGGAGGAATCGAACTCGGGTCGGCCATGTTGGCCGCTTGTAAGGCGAGCGCCCTACCGCTGTGCTATCACTCCAGCCCAGGATAGCTGGCGCTCTCGCACGACCACCCACGCAGTTTTATCCGGTAAAGCGAAAGTTTAGTTAATCTCATTAAATATATTAGGAGTTCAGGAAAATATTATCTATGACAATTTTTGTGGGGTATTTTTTTGGGGGGGTGGGCAGATGGCACACCCAGCAGTGCTCAAGGCTTACTCCTGGCTCTGTACTCAGGCATCACTTCTTATGGGGCTTGGAGCAGTATATGCAATGTTTGGAATCGAACCTGGGTTGGCCATGTGTAATGCAAGCACCCTACCTGCTGTATTATCTTTCTGGCCCCAACTAGGAGAAAATTTCAAACTAATACTACACTGAATGATTTCAGGATTTCTGGTTAACCTTTCTCTTGATGGTATTTTATTTTCCATGTTTCCTTGCTGTTATATATTAGTTCTGCCAAGAATTAGTTTAATAAACCAGCTTGGAATTTTATCTTTTACACGTTGTTATTGAAAATATATTTTCCTTTGGTGTGTATAAAACGGGCTGGAGTGATAGCACAGCGGGTAGGGCGTTTGCGTCTTCCATGTGCAAGGCAAGTGCCCTACCTGCTGTACTATCTCTCCAGTCCCATAACATCAAAGATTTAGTAGAGCAAAGGGAACTACAGTAATGATGAAAATTTAAGTGATAGCACAATTCTGTACAGACATAAGCTCAGCTTCTCAGATTTGACAATATCATGGGCCATTGCATGTCATCTTGGGATTCTGGAGACCAGGGATACTGCATTTAGAAGCTGCACTGGTTTCACGGTAGAACCATGCATTTGGTAAGTTTTACAGACAGATTCTATTTCAATTCAGAACTTAATGTAAACTTTGCATGAGTTTTGTCTATGTATATTTATCTGAATGGAAGGAGGTAAAAGGTGGTCTCACATTAAATTATGGCCTACTGTACCAACAGTCTTTATTTTGAGCACTTCTGATTTTGTTTGATTAAAAATCTGTTTTAGATGAAACAATTTGCATCACCGTTTTCTCTTATCAAAAATACATTATTATAGGAAATAAAATTAAACATTTAGGGACTTTTGCGTGGAGGGGTAAACACTTGGGGATTTGGGTGGGGGGTGGCACTCATACTCGGCAGTGTTTAGGGACTACTTCTAGCTCTGTGCTCAGGAATTACTCCTGGCAGCCTTGGGGGACTATATAGGTTCCAGGAATCAAACCTGGGTTGGCCACATGCAGGGCAAGTACACTACCTACTACTACCTACTATAATATAGCACAAACCTGTAGAAGAATTAAAGTTTCTTTTTTATAAAGTTGTTCACAGTAATTTATCACATTTAGTATTCCAACGTCAATCCCACCCAGATAATTTACTTTGTATTGCTTGTTATGAATAATCTGCTTGAAATGATCCAAAAGGTTTCCTTAGAGGAAAGTGTGTGAAGATTGTTGTGTTTCACCCTGGAGCCATTTAGTCCTTGGATAAGAGATTACTAACGTGTTGTTAAAGGCTGAGCCTTGTGAGCTTATATATATATATATATTTCCCCCCTGAGATTGGTTTTCTTGTACTTTACACCCCATCATCAAGTGTGGTGTGCTACTCTTGGTACATTCAGTGGTGTGGAGTATGAGATGAGATGCTCCAGGAATTCTAAAATTTTAAACTCGGTAATGCAGCTGAGGTTAATTTAATTTTTTTTTAACTGGATGGTGACTTTGAGGTCTGGAGGCCACTCTGCTGTGTGTCGCTCTGTGTTGCTCTCTTCCAAGAGATTTATTTGTGAGTCTCTGGGTCATGGCCGTTAGTGAGCTTCTACGGTGCCAGAGGCAGTTCGCGGGATGACTGCCAGACTACAGGAAGCACAGAGACATGGGGAGAGGTCACCCATTTCCGACTCTATGAGAGCCTGGAGATTTCAGTCACAAGTCCCTCATTCCTGGGTTTTTCAACAGAATCACGCATGGATGAGGACCATCAGAGCCCGTGGAAATAGGCCATGAGAATGGTGGCGATTAAGTTTTAGAGGTTTTCAGCTCCGGGGGCTCTCTTGGGGCCAGAAGTGGAAGAGGAATTCAACTGTCCCCCTCTGGGTTGCCTGGGATGAGATAACCTGGTGCTGGATGGAGGCATCTCTGTAGCGTCTCAAGAATTAAAGTTTAATATAGGTGTATACATATATATAGAGAGAGACAGAGAGAGAGAGAGAGAGGGAGAGAGAGATGTATGCATATATACATATATATGTATATATACACACATATATACATTACTTGGGGGCACACCCAGTAGTGCTTAGGGGTTGCTACTGGCTCTGCACACAGGAATTACTCCTGGAAGGCTAGGGGACCATGTGGGATTCCAGGGATTGAACCTAGGTTGATTGCATGCAAGGCAAACACCCTACCTCCTGTACTATGACTGTGTCCCTTGAATATATATAACTGAAAAAAGTTTATCATTCATAATTTAAAACTCCAGTTGTGATTGTTCTTTACACAGTTTACACACCTTTTGATTAAAATTTATTTTATTTATTTTTAGGGGATTCCAGGGTTTCCAGGAAACCAAGGATTAATGGGACAAAAGGTAAGTACTAATAAGAATTGGAAGATTTGAATCTATGTGTTCCTTAAAGGGGATAATTCTAATATATGGGTATATATGGGTATTCGATCATTGTATAACTGAAACCCAAGCACAAAAATTTGTAAATCTACACTGTACCTCATGGTGTTTCACTAATAAAAATCTAAATTAAAAAAAAAAGCTGAGATATCCATCATAAAAAAATAAATAAAATAGCCTAAATATGATGTCAACTGAAAATCATGTAAGATGGTTTTCATTTCTTTTTTTTTTAATTTTTATTAGTGAAACCCCATGAGGTACAGTTGTAGACTCACAAATTTTTGCGCTGGGGTTTCAGTTATACAATGATTGAGAACCCATCCCTCCACCAGTGCCCATTTTCCATCATCACGGATCCCAGTATCCCTCCCACCCCCAACCCATCCCCCCATCCCACCCTGCCTCTGTGCCAGGGCATTCCCTTTTGTTTTCTCTCTCCTTTTGGGTGCTGTGGTTTGCAAAAGACGCATTGAGTGGCAATCATTTTTGGTCTATAATCTACTTTCAGCATGCATCTCTCATCCTGGGAGGATCCTCCCAACACCCTTTACTTGGTGCTCCCCTCTCTATCTGAGCTGCCTTCTCCCCCAACATGTGCGACTGACTTCCAAGCCATGGAGTGAACCTCCTGGTACTTATCTCGGCTATTGTTGGGTGTTATTCCCCAGATGAATGCAATCTTTCTGTCTGTCCCTCTCTTTCTGACTCATTTCGCTTAGCATGATACTTTCCATGTAGTACCACGTGTATGTAAATTTCATGACTTCATCTTTTCTAACAGCTACATAGTACTCCATTGTGTAGATGTACCAAAGTTTCTTTAACCAGTCATCTGTTCGCGGGCACTCGGGTTTTTTCCAGATTTTGACTATTGTCAGTGTGCAGCAATGAACATGAAAGGCAGATGTCATTTCAACTGTACTTTTTTGCCTCTCTGGGATATATTCCCAGGAGTGGTATAGCTGGGTCAAATGAGAGCTCAATTTCTAATTTTTTGAGGAACGTCCATACTGTTTTCCAAAAGGGCTGAACCAGTCGACATTCCCACCAACAGTGAAGGAGTGTCCCTTTCTTGCCACATCCGCGCCAGCATCGGTTGCTTTTGTTCTTTTGAATGTGGGCAGTCTCTGAGGTGTGAGATGGTATCTCATTGTGGTTTTGATCTGCATCTCCCTGATGATTAGTGATGTAGAGCATTTTCTCATGTGCCTTTTTGCCATTCAGATTTCTTCTTTGAGAAAATTTCTGTTCATTTCGTTACCCCATTTTTTGATGGGGTTTTTTGGATTTTTTTTCTTGCGGAGTTCAATCAGTGTCTTGTATATCCCTGATATCAATCCCTTATCAGGTGGGTATCGGGTGAATATACTTTTCCATTCTGAAGATTGTCTTTGTATTTTGGTCACTGTATCTTTTGCGATGCAGAAGCTTCTGAGTTTAATATAGTCCCATTTGTTTACCTCTGATTCCACTTGGTAAGTCAGTGGCATGTCATCTTTGAAGATACCATTAGCCTCAATATCATGGAGGGTTTTGTTGACCTTGTCTTCAATGTACCTTATGGATGCTGGTCTGATGTTGAGGTCTTTAATTCATTTTGATCTGACTTTTGTGCATGGTGTTAAGTCGAGGTCTAAGCCCATTTGTTTGCATGTGGTTGTCTAGTTATGCCAGCATCATTTGTTAAAGAGGATTTCCTTGCTCCACTTCACATTTCTTGCTCTCTTAATAAAGATTAAATGTTCATACATTTGGGGTTGTATGTAGGGATATTCCACTCTGTTCCATTGGTCTGCGGCTCTGCCTTTTTTCTAGTACCATGCTGTTTTAATTGTTACCACTTTACAGTAGAGTTGAGGTTGAGGAGAGTGATGCCTCCCATCATCTGTTTTCCCAAGAATTGCTTTAGCTATTCGTGAGCATTTGTGGTTCCAAATGAATTTTAGGAGTGCTTGATTCATTTCTTTGAAGAATGTCATGGGTATCTTTATAGGGATCGCACTGAATTTGTATAGTGCCTTGGGGAGTATTGTCATTTTGACAATGTTAATTCTTCCTATCCATGAGCAGGGGATATGTTTCCATTTCCTCATGTCCTCTTTTATTTTGTGGAGTAGCGTTTTGTAGTTTTCTTCGCAGAGGTCCTTTACCTCCTTAGTTAGGCTGATTCCAAGGTACTTGATTTCCTGGGGCACGATGGTGAATGAGATTGCTTTTTTCATGTCTCTATTGCAAGTACTTCCAGCACTATATTGAAGAGAAGTAGTGAGACTGGGCATCCTTGTCTTGTCCCTGATCTTAGAGGGAAGGCCCTTAGTTTTTCTCCATTGAGAATAGTGCTTGCCATAGGTTTGTCATAGATGGCTTTGACTCTCTTGAGGAAAGTTCCTTCTAAGAGTTTTCATCATAAATGAGTGTTGGATCTTATCAAATGCTTTCTCTGCATCTATTGATATAATCATATGATTTTTATCTTTACTTTTGTTGATATGATGGATTATGTTGATTGATTTCCGAATGTTAACCCATCCTTGCATCCCTGGGATGAATCCCACTTGGTCGTGGTGTATGATCTTTTTGATGAGTTGTAGGATTCTATTTGCTAATATTTTGTTGAGGATCTTCGCATTTGTGTTCATTAGAGATATTGGCCTATAGTTTAATTTCTTAGTGGTGTCTCTGTTTGCTTTTGGTATTAGGGAGATATGTACCTCATAAAAACTGTTTGGGAGAGTTCCTGTTTTTTTTAATTTCCCGAAAAATCTTGAGGAGAATTGGCAACAGGTCTTCTTTAAATGTTTGGAAGAATTTGCTAATGAAGTTCTTCCATCTGGGCCTGGGCTTTTGTTTTGGGGAAGACTTTTGATTACAATTTCAATTTCCTTGATATTGATGGGTTTGTTCATGTATTCCAAGTCTTCTTGGTTCAGTCTTGGGAGATTATAGGAATCTAGGATTTTATTCTTCTAGGTTCTCTTGTCTTGTGGAATATAGATTCTCAAAGTAGTCTCTGATGATCTTTTGAATTTCATTGGTTTCTGTTGTGATGTCCTCTTTTTCATTTCTGATTTGGTTTATTAGGATTTCTCTCTTTCCTTGTGAGTCTTGCTAGTGGTTTATCAATCTTGTTTATTTTCTCAAAGAATCAGCTCTTAGTTTCATTGACCTTTTAGATTGTTTTTTGGGGTTTCCATGTCGTTAATTTCTGCTCTAAGTTTTATTACTTCTTTCCTTTGGCTGGGTTTGGATTCCTTTTGTTGGTCTTTTTCTAAGATCTTGAGCTGTGAAGTCAAGTTGTTTATGTGGGCCCTTTCTTCCTTCCTTAGAAATCTTGCAAAGCTATAAATTTTCCTCTTAACATGGCTTTAGCTGTGTCCCAATGGTTCTGGTAGATCATGTCTTCATTCTCATTTATTTCCAGGTATCTTTTGATTTCTTCCTTGACTTCCTTCCTGACCCACTCATTGTTCAACATTGAGTTGTTTAACTTCCAGGTGTTTGATTTGGTTCTTTGCATCTCTGTGTGATTCGCTTCTATCTTCAGCACATTGTGGTCTGAAAAGATAGTTGATACAATTTCTATTCTATTGAGGTATGTTTTGTGACCCAGCACGTGGTCTATTTTAGAAAATGTTCCGTGTGCACTGGAAAAGAATGTGTATTCTTTCTTTTGGGGGGTGTAAAGCCCTGTATAGGTCTGTTAACCCGTTCTCTTCTATTTCTTCCTTCAAAGCCAGCGTTTCCTTGCTGAGTTTTGTTCTTGTTGATCTATTTTGAGGTGATAAGGCAATGTTGAAGTCTCTGACCACTATTGTATTGCTGGCAACATCCTCCTTAAAATCTGTTAGCAGTTGTTTTAAGTATTTAGCTGGTCCCTCCTTAGGTGCATGTACAATTAAGGGTGTGATTTCTTCCTGTTGTACATATTCCTTGATAAATAGAGAATTGATAGAGAATAAATATGAGGATTTTAGTGTGTTTAAAGTTTGACATCGTTCCTTTAGTTTTTCCTTATTTTGATATTGACCTGTTATGTGTTGGTCGGCCCCTAGTTAATTCCTCTTGCTACTTTATGTTTTTTGCTAACTACTGACATTCTGAGCTTTCAGCTGGAGTTTTTCTGCTCTTCATAAAAGATTATTTACTTATCTCTGTAAAGGTGATTTGGAGGTAGTGGATGTCCTCAGCTGTTATTTATCTGTAAATATATTCATCACTCGCTCAAATTGGAGGTACATTCTTGGTTTGAAGGGTTTTTTTTCATTCAGAACTTTGAAATTATTTTGACTTTCCTTCCTGCTTGTAAAGTTTAATTAAAGAAATCCAACATTCAGCTAATGTTGAAACAAAAGCAAATATCACAAGTGACATACTAATGAAAGTACTTATAAATCACTGTCATAAACTTTAAACACTACTGTAACCATGGTGGCTAAACTAATTTTTTTAATTAAAATAGATAGCCCTGCAAGAAAATATTTGAAAGTAATTTCATGAACATTCATCCCAGGTCTTTGAGATATAAAATATTATGTACAATCGGTAAGGCACTTGTCTTGATGTGGCTGACCTGAGTTCAATCCCTGGTACCACATATGGTCCCCTGAGCACTGCTAGGAGTGATCTCTGAGCACAAAACTGGAGAAAGCCCTAAACACAGCCTAATGTGACCCTAAAAAAATTATATATATATGTTTATATATATACACATATGTTTTCAGTTCTTGTTTTCTTCTTGTCTCAGAGTAAGGGTGAGAATTAAGACAAATTAGGATGATTGTTATTGGATTTTCACTGGTAAGACTGTGGTAGAAAATTACTAGAAATGAATTGATAAATTTACTATTTTATCCCTATTTGATTTTAGGGAGAAACTGGGTCTCCAGGACCACAAGGAAAAAAGGGAGCTCCCGGAATACCTGTATGTTAAAATGTCATTATTATGAAAGTGTTTGAAATATTGTTACTAAATACTGAAGCTCTTACTTTAGAGTTCTAGAGGGGATTCTGTAATAAAAATTCACTGAGTCTGTTCATTTATATGAAAAGGACTATGTTACAAGCATTTTTCTAGAAAAATTAATTTTTTCAACTTCTAAAACTGTTGATCACCTAATAAACAAGAACGCTTACTCTAGATGAACCATAAAACAAATATTCTAGCAATTCATCAAAAAGCAATGCAAACTACTACAAAAAATATAAAACGAATTATTTTTCTTTTCAATTATAAATTTAATATACTAATTAGAGAGATCACATAAAATAGAGAATAGCTCAGTGGTAGACACTTGATCTGCATATATAAGGTCTTGGATTCAATCCCTGGAATCTCTCTCGCCTTCTCTGTGTCTCCCTCTCTCTCTCTCTTTCTCTCTTTCTCTCTCTTTGTCTCTCTCACGCATACACATACCAGATAAAACAATCAGTGAAAATTTATTCTGAAAGCTTTGGGTGTGGAAAGGGGCATATGAGTCGATACTAAAAACGTTGAAAATCCCATCATACTTTGTGCAAAATTTCCAAAAGCTTATTGGAAGCTTAAAATAAAATTTCTAAGCTTATTCTTGCAAGCGATGTTGTGACTCATGCTGCCTATAACAGTCTTTTCGTTAATTAACATAGATCACTTACCTCAGCGATAGCACAGCGGGTAGGGCATTCGCCTTACAAGCGGCCAACATGGCCGACCCGAGTTCGATTCCTCCGCCCCTCTCGGAGAGCCCGGCAAGCTACCGAGAGTATTCGATGTGCCAGACACAGTAACAACAAAGTCTCCAATGGAGATGTTACTGGGCCCGCTCGAGCAAATCGACGATCAACGGGAGGGCCTGTACCTTACCTTTACCTTTACCTCCACAAAAACTTCATTTATAATGTAAAATAAATAAATAAAATAAAATAAAATAAAACTTCATTTATAATGTGAACTTAAAAAAAAAACTTACTTAGTGCTTAGTGAACATTGGTGAATTTTGTATGTCAATATAAGTAGGAAAAATATTGTTGATTAAATATAAATTCAGTTCTTTTTTTTTTTTGGCTTTTTTTTTTGGTCACACCTGGTGATGCACAGGGGTTACTCCTGGCTCTGCGCTCAGAAATTACCCCTGGCGTTGCTCAGGGGACCCTATGGGATGCTGGGAATCGAACCTGGGTTGACCGCATGCAAGGCAAACGCCCTACCCACTGTGCTATTGCTCCAGCCCTAAATTCAGTTCTTATGTGGTTTTAAAAAATATTCTTCCTTTTGAAATTTTTCTTCCTTTACTTCCATCATCGCTACCAGGCTGTTTATTCAAATATTAAATTTACAAATTTTAACTAGAAGTTTGAGAATATCTAATCATGTCTTATATTTTATATAACATACTGTAAATTAATATATTTTATAGTTGCATTGTATCATAAATTTACAACAAAGCATGGTAGTTATGACAAGGAACTTTTAGTATGGCTAAACAGATATTGTTATCTGATGATATTAATTGAATAATGTTTTACACGTTTTTTACATGTTCAAGAGAAACTCCGTTACGTATTTGAGTGTGTGTATATATATGTGTGTATGTTTGTGTGCATGTGCCAATAAATACATTTTTATATATAAAATGGTATTTAAATTAGAATATAGATTAAATCTGGTTCTGTCATAGGAATAGTCGTGTATTTTATGAACTGTGGCTAGTTAAAAATACCACTGTCATGCAACGGTGGTTTTTTGAATTACACAGAGGTTATCATTATATTCAGATAATTTATTGCATTGTTACTATTTCAAAATATACAGGAAATTAGCAGTTTTAATATTGATTATGAGAACATGTATGAAGTATATGATGTGTTAGCCATCAAGTGCAAAAGAAAATATATACTTTTCTCTGGGGCCACAGAGATAATACACAGGTTAAGGCATCTTCCTTGCACAGGGTTTACCCTGGTTTGACCACTAAATCACATATGGTCCTCAGCTTACAACCAGGAGTGATCCCTGAGCTCAGCTAGGTGTGGCCCATCCTCAAACCCCAAATTAAGAAACTTTTCTTTGCGTTTGTATTTTTTTAGTTCTCCTGTAATTTTTCCTATTTCTAAATTATTTAGTATCAGTATTATAAGTGTCCTGTTAGTTTTTATGTTATCGTGTGTAGGATGAAAGTGTCTGAGGAATGTCTAAATTATTTCTAGTGTATTAATCTAAAAATATAACTTAGAAGCGTATTTAATATTTTTAATATCCTTCTCTAAATTACACTTGAAATTTCCATTTATCTATGTAGGGTTTGATGGGAAATGATGGTTTGCCAGGCCATCCAGGGACACCAGGATCCAAGGTAAACAAGGAGATTTATTAAAGAATATTATATATGATGAATGTTCATATATGCCAGTGAAATTTTTATCTGCCTTAATTTTATTTGAAATATGTTCTAATTCCCTGAGCAATTACTTTTAAGAACAAAATCTTATGCAAAATCTAGTATCATTAAAACTGATTTAATCTGGTAAGCATATAGAATTTCTTGCTACTTGGCTTTCTCCATCACTAGTAACACAGAAGACTGTTGAATACATGCAGCTGTCTGGAGTTCAGTGCCAGATGTGAACTACTTGGACCACTAGTTATGACTAAGCAAAATTTTAGGACCATTTCCTGTCCTTTTCTTGGAATTTTTATTTAGTAGAAGGAGATGGAATTTTTTTTTATTTGTACAATGTCCTGTTTATTTGACATTTTATTCCGTTGGAATGAGATTTTTTTTAAAAGGAAGGAAGGCTTTTAAAATAATTTTAAGGTATTATGTTATTCTTAAGGTAGAATTAGAATTTCTTCAACACAATGAATACAAAAACATTTCTTTTTTTGTCCACTCAAAAAAGGTCGATCTGCACTGGTGGGTTAGTGCAGCAGATAAAGTTCCTTTATCTGCTGACCTTTATCTGCTGGCCTGCCTTCAATCCCTGCCACTACGAATGTTCCTCTGAGCAATGTCAAGAGTGGTCCTGAGCACAGCTAGGTGTGGCCCTAAAATGAAAAGGGAAAAGGAAAGAAAAATGAAGGGTTTCAGGGTAGACTGAGTCATTTCTTTCTTAGGAAAGGGACCATCCGTCAAATAAGATTGGTAACGTGTGCACATGACCTTAGGCTATATTACCACAATTCTCATTAATTTTTGACGCAACTCCTCTTTGTGAGTTTCAACGTAATTACTTGAAAGTGAAAAAAAAAATTAAACGACTATTGTTCCTTATTGCATGCACAGTAGTGCTATGCATTAAGGGCTTTGAGTCAGTACAAATGTTTTGAGTAAGTACAGATGTGTGTTCAAGTGATTCTCAACATGAACAACCTAGGAGATATTTCAGATACTGAAATGAAGGTGACTCGCTACACCTACTAAACTTGGTTCTGACTGTCACTGTTTCCACATGACACAACAATTTTAGTTCTGGCCTTTTGCTAAGTTGTCTAGATTGTATATTTCAAATATACCTAAAAACTTACAAACGAGAACGACCTATAACAAGTTCTCCTTATTAGGGATTGTTGTCCAATTCTCCTTTCCTATCCTACATTTTTTGTTCTGTCAGCTGGGTCTTGCTATCGATCCAAGTCTGCATGGGAATGCTGAAAAACTGTCCAAACTAAACATTGCATAATTCCTACTTCATCAAAAAGGCTTTGTTCATTTAAAGCCTGTTTTCTTTTCTTCAGCTGTACACAGACAGTGAGACATGCTGAGAAAGTGACACAGAACAAAGATAAATATTCTCAAACCAGGGGATGCTGTTCACTGTATCATTGTCATCCTGATGTTCATCGATTGCCTCGAACAGACCCAAGTAACATCTCCTTCGTCCTAACCCTGAGATTTAAAGTGCCATATTCAAGGCTCTTTCAGGGTTAGGAGAATGAGACCCATCATTGTTACTGGTTCTTGGCACATTGAATATGCCACAGGGAGTTTGCCAGACTCTGTTGTGTGGGCAGGATACTTTTGGTAGCCTGCCAGGTTCTCCAGAGTAAGAACTAGGTAATAAAATGTCTCAGGAGCTGGGTTTTATAGTCTCTGGGTCTTGGCCGTTGATGGGATTACACGGTGCTGGGGGCAGTTAGTGGGTGTGACCCCCGCCTACTGGAATTCGGAGGATCTGGGTGGAGGATGCTCAGCCCTGATCCGAGTAGGCTTGGAGATCTACGCCCCAGGTCCCACACACCTGGGTTCCTCTGCCAGTTCCTTCATGCGTGAGGCTCGTCCAAACGTGTGGAGAGTGGTCTTAAGCATGACTGTGGCTGGAACCAGAGTCTTCAGCTGCCGGATCTCTGCTGGGGTGGGGAGCTAAACTCAACCCACCCTCCTCCAAGGGGCCCCAGTGAGGACAGCCAGGCGCAGAGGCACGAGACTGCGCTGTTCTCTTCCGGGAGCTGGGTTTTATAGTCTCTGGGTCTTGGCTGTTGATGGGATTACACGGCGCCGGGGGCAGTTGGTAGATATAACTATTAAAAATTATAAAGACTGTGTGCTGGAGATACTACACTTGATCTTAGCCAAAAGGCCGAGAAGCGCCAGGACCAGCCACTACCATGCTGAGACCACTCTCCGCACACCTGAAGGTACCGGCAGAGGGACAAAGCCACGTGGGTTCCGGGGCCGAGATCTCCAAGCCTACTTGGATTGGAGTCGAGCATCCTCCACCCAGATCCTCCAAATTCCAGTAGGCGGGGGTCACACCCACCAACTGGCCCCCTGGCGCCATGTAATCCCATCAGCGGCCAAGACTCAGAGACTATAAAAACCAACTCCCGAAACCATGCGGCCGCATTTGCGGCCATGCGACATCTTATTATGACATCATATTATCTCATTCCTACTTTGGACAAACTGGCAGGCTACCGAATGGAGCCTGCCCACATGGCAGAGTCTGGCAAACTCCCCGTGGCGTACCCAATATGCCAAATACCAGTAACAATGATGGGTCTCATTCTCCTAAAGAGCCTTGAATATAATCTCAGAGCTAGGATGAAGGAGACGTTACTGGGGCCTGCTCGAAGCAATTGACGAATAACAGGATGATTTGTGATTGTGATTGTGTGTGCTGGAGATGTGGCACCACAGTGGAGTGCATGTTCCCATGCACAAGGCCCGAATTTTATCCCCAACATCTCAAAAACACAAATTAAAAACAACAACAAACAAACAAAAAGTCCTTTGGCCTTTGCAATCTCATATTCCTTCTTAAGCTCTTTCTCCTTGGGCTGGAGCATAGCACAGAGGGTAGGGCATTTGCCTTGCACACGGCCGATCCGGGTCCAATTCCCAGCATGCCATATGGTCCCCCAAGCACCGCCAGGAGTAATTCCTGAGTGTATGAGCCAGGAATAACCCCTGAGCATTGCCGAGTGTGACACACACACACACAAAAAAAAATCTTTCTCCTTGCACTTGGCTTTTGTGTGTGTGTATTGTTTTTGTTGTTGTTTTTATTTTTTTATTTTTTTAAATTTTTATTAGTGAGACATCATGAGGTACATGTGCTCTTAGAGAGTTTTATAAAAGTGTAGATGTATTTTCTTACGTAAGGTAAGTTTTTCTTAATAAATAGGCTTGAAATACATTAGATGTTTCAAACAATTTAAGAAGTTGGAAATGTGAAAATTATCATATTGATTCCCTTGATTATCTCTGCTATATTGTGACTGATATTTTAAAATGAAGTGACTTTGCTGCTTTGACAGGGAACCAAGGGTGAACCCGGACATCAAGGGATTTCTGGAGCTTCCGGGCTCAAGGTAATCACGATCGGATACATTTGGAAATATTTTCAAAGTATTCTAAGTTCCCCACATTATTGGATGAGTGTCACATTTCATATCCCTTAAGCAAAAATATATGGCTTTCAGAATTACCTGTCTCACAAAAGCAGCGTTCTGAAAGGAAATGTTTAAGGAGGGACTTCATTTCTGTTCTTTGGATTCATGATCATAGTTGCGGTAGGTCGTGGTGAGATAACTCAAAGGTCTGCTTTGCATGTGAGAGGTTCAAGTTTGATTTAATTTCCTGCAATGCATAGGTCCCCGAGTACTACAAGGAGTAACTTTGAGCACTTAGCTCGGGGTAACTCCCAAAGATGGTGGTCTCTAAACAAAGACATAAAATGTACTTTGCCTTGACTTGTTTAGAAATAGTAAAAGTTATAAGCTAATACTTTCTGGTCTAGAAAGTATCACTCTCGTAAAATAGCTGAGTTCATGAGTCCGGCTCCTAAAAGTGGCAGGGGAACTGAACCCATTGTCCAGTGATGGGTCCTTATTTTCAGTGTGAGGCTCCACAGTTACTTTTCCCAGTTTCCTCCAAACCAAATGTTTGATGCTTGACTCTAAGATAGGGTCTCTTTTCGCTTTTAAAAAATCTAAAGTAATATTTAACTACTCCAGATTGGGCACAGTGAGTACAAACAAAATTTGGTTCTCCAAGAAGAACCTTGTCTTTCATTACCGTGTTCAAGTTCTGAACTAGTGATAAAAGAAATGAAACAAAACAAAAAGCCATGAAGTATGTTCAGTTTTGCATTTTAGCTCTTACAAACAGCACCTAAAATTTGTCGAGAGATCACAGAACTTAACACAGGAAATTAATGCGACCTTTTAAAATAAGAGATTTATCTTATTTTATTTATAAAATAACCTCTTGTTTTATTTTTAAAAAAAAGAAAGAAAAAGACGAAGAATCTCTGGGATAATGGAAAGTGAAAGCAATTGAGTTACAGGGAAACTGGAGAGATAGTTCAGCGCTTGTCTTGCATATAACCAAATTGATATGGTTCCCCAGGACTGCCAAGAATGATCTTGAGCAGAGTCAGAAATATTCCCTAAGTGCAGCTAAGAGTGGTTCAAAATAAAAACAACACTGAGTCACAATGGAATGCACTGGAGTATTCTCTGAGTTGAAAACAACTCAAGAATTTTGAAATTAATAATCCATAGACACTTTTCCAAAGAAGTCATACACTTTTATTATTGTTCTTGGAAACCAAGTGTATGACTTCTTTGGAAAAGTGTCATCTCTGCTGATTATTTAAAAACTATGATTCAAAACCACCATTAGAGGACACCTCAGACCAGTGAGAATGACCTTATATTAAAACAACAAGAACAAAAACTAAAGGTAGGTGCTGGAGAGATAATGAAGTGGGCCTTGCATGTTGCCGACCTAGTTTGATTTATGACTCTACATAAGGTCCTTCGAGGCTTGCGACGAGTGATCCCTGAGCACAGAATCAGGAGTAAACCCTGAGCATCACTGTCCCAAACCTCCTTCTGCTTTCCCCCACCCCCAAAATAAGCAAAACAAAAACAAAAACAAAAAACCACCTTAGTAACAAGTGTTGAAGAGGGCATGGAGAGCAAGGAATTCACATATGCTATCGGTGGGACCATAAATTGGTATAGGCCTTCTGAAAATGATATGAAGCAAAATATTGCATAGCAACACTATTCTTAGATATTTATTCATTAGATATGCATAAATTATGAAAGCACTAATTCAGAATGACATCTATACATAGCAGCATTAGTTCACTTGATCATTTGATCACTTGACATCCCCCCGTTACTCATCGATTTGCTTGAGCGGGTGCCAGTAACATCTCCATTTGTCCCTGTCACATGCTCGTGTAGCCCAATGGCATCTGCTCGCTCCAGGAACCAATCATTCAGGGTCTTGATGAAGAAATATGACCACCTCGTAGGTGGGCGGTCACGCAATCTTTTGACATCCCATGGAATCCAGTCGGTAGCAGCTCTAGTCCAGCGGTCGTCTCCAAATAACATTACGTGTCCAGCCCATCTGATTTTCGACGCCTTGGCAAACGAGACAGCGTCCCCGATTCTTGAACATCAAAGGAGGTTGGAACTCCGGATTCCTTCTCTCTCTTGAGTGAAGCGTGATACTCCAAGCATAGCTCTTTCGATTCCTCTTTGGGAGACCCGAATAGCAGTATTAGTTTACTAACGAAAATGGAAATAAACTAAAATTCTGTCCTATGAGTGGATAAATATAATTTGGTACACATTTAAAGTAGAATAATACTCAGCTACTAAAAATGATAAAACTCTTTTTTAAGTTTTGTTTTTGCTTGCGGGCCACACCCAACCATGCTCAGGGCTTGCTCCTGGCTCTGTGCTCAAGGATTACTCCTGGTGGGTCTCAGGGGACCATATAGAGTACCCAGAATTGAACCCGGGACAGTGGCATGCAAGACAAACACCCTACCTAATCTACTATCTCTCTGGTCTCTAAAAAGAATGTAAATTTTTCTTTTTTTTTGATACCATAGGGATACAAGTTGAGGTAATTTTTCTGATCACAATGTGTCAAAGTGAAAACAATTACTAAATGGTCTTTCTCTTTTGAAATGCACAAGCAAATCATCACAAAAATAACTCTTAGCAAAAAAAGTCTAACAGTTTCTAGAGGAGGGGTGAATATAGAGTGTTCAATTTAATAAAGATTAATCACTTTTTTTTTTTTTTTTGCTTTTTGGGTCACACCCGGTGATGCACAGGGGTTACTTCTGGCTCTGCTCTCAGGAATTACTCCTGGCAGTGCTCGGGGAACCATATGGGATGCTGGGAATTGAACCCAGGTTGGCTGCGTGCAAGGCAAACGCCCTACCCTCTGTGCTATCGCTCCAGCCCCAAAGATTAATCACTTTATTATTATTTTGATGGGTAACTTTAATAGATGGTGTGAAGCTATGCTCGAAATTCATGGTGTCATAAACCAAAAATTATAAAAATTTTATTAAAAGGAGAAATAAGTATTTTGTATGTATAAAGGAAAAATGTTGAGCAAGATATCTAATTACAAGTACGTACAGCCAATGTTATTATTTTTATCAAAATTAATTGTAAAAACAAGCATTGTACTGTGGTAATTTATTATTAAGTAGGAAATTAGTGCAACCTTATTCCATAATTTACAATACATTAAGTATTGTTCTGTAATTTAAAACCATGTGATAAAAGTACCCAATGGCATGTGTCACAGTGTTAATAAATTTTGAAATAAAAGCTACATCACCATACATACAGAATAAGCATAATTTAGTTGTATGTGTGTGTGTGTTCATGAGATGTATGGTAAAATCTGTAATAAAATTGAAAGTATATTCAATTTTAAAATAATTTTTATTACTTTTACCAGCAATTTTCTAACATTAAAATATAACCCTTAGGATGGAGACAGAGCTCAACCGACTGGGGCACCTGCTGTGGGCACTGCATGGCCAGGCTTTGCCCCAGAACTCTTTGGTTCTCTTAGCATTGCTGGAAAGAATCTTTGAGCAACACTGGGCATGGCTCAAGGGCTGGAGTGATAGCACAGTGGGTAGGGCATTTGCCTTGTACGCAAACAGCCTGGCCGAGCCGGGTTTGATTCCTCCGCCCCTCTCGAAGAGCCTGGCAAGCTACCGAGAGTATCTCGCCCGCACGGCAAAGCCTGGCAAGCTCCCCGTGGCGTATTCAGTATGCCAAACACAGTAAGAACAAGTCTCACGATGGAGACGTTACTGGGCCCGCTCGAGAAAATCGATGAACAACGGGAGGAGAGTGGATAGATAGTGTAATTTATTATAAAGTAGGAAATTAATTCAACCTTATTCTATAATTTACGAAACATTAAGTCTCGTTCTGTAATTTGAAACCATGTGATAAAAATACCCAATGGCATGTGAGTGTCACAGTGTTAATAAATTTTGAAATACAAGATACATCACCATACATACAGAATAAGCATGACTTAGTTGTATATGTGTGAGTGTTCATGAGATGTATGGTAAAATCTGTAATAAAATTGAAAGGATGTTCAATTTTAAAATTGATGGAGACGTTACTGGGCCCGCTCAAGCAAATCAATGAACAACAGGAGGACAGTGACGGTGACAGGGTGTGACTCAAAAAACAAATAGGAGATCTTCAAAGTAGAAATATGGGGTTGTGGGGAAGGCTCAAGGAAAAAGAACCATTCTGAAAGGAAGCAAAAGATGTAGGCTGAAGAAAAAGCGTTTGGTGCATGCCTTGTACAGCACTGTCTCTATCCTGGGACTACACATTGTCCCCCAAACATCTTCAGGAATAATCCCTAAATCTCTGGGAGTGGCCTAAAACAATTCCCTACTCCCTGAAAAAGGGGCAAGAAAATATCTATGCTTATTATTTTCAGTACTGTTATTTACTTTATTGTTGAAATTATGAAACAATGAAGATCAATATTTATAAGAAGTTTTAGACGATGTGCCATTAAAGCTTTTATAATTAGCTAAATATATAAATGAAAATATGGGGCTGTAGAGGTAGTTCAGCAACTAAAGCACTTGCCTTACAGGTAACTGACCAAGGTTCAGTCCTTGGCATCCTATATGGTCTCCTGAGCTTACCAGGAGTGATACCTGAGTGCAGAACCAAGTGTGTCCCCTCACAACAAAAGAAAATAAGGGGTGATATGTGACGCCCCATTTTAGTCTCAGACAATTCAAAACAAAAATTTACCAGTCTAGGGGAAAGGGCAGCTCAGATAGAGAAGGGAGCACCAAATAAAGGGTGTTTGGAGGATCCTCCCAGGAGGGGAGATGCATGTCGAAAGTAGACTATGGACTGAACATGTTTGCCACTCGATGCCTCTTTTGCAGACCACAATACCCAAGAGGAGAGAGAGAACAAAGGGGATTGCCCTGCCACAGAGGCAGGGGGGATAGGGGGATGGGGGTGGGGGGGATATTATCCATGGTGGTGGAAAATGGGCACTGGTGGAGGGATGGGTACTTGATCATTGTATAATCGAAACCCAAGCACAAAAAATTGTAAGTCTACATCTGTACCTCATGGTGTTTCACTAATAAAAATTTAAAAGAATTTACCAGTGTTGTTTTTGATAACAGGTCTATTATTTTTTGTTTTCTGTATTATCTAGGGAGATAAAGGAGCGATGGGGCCCCCAGGAGAGCCAGGATACCTGGGTTTACCTGGGATGCAAGGAAAAAGGGTACGTGTTGAATAGGAGATAAAATTCATTTATAGTCAGCGACTAACATGTGCTTTTCTTTTTTGAAAATAAAACCGATTATACTTTTCATGATGAACCAACCGAGACGTGTGGTTTGTGAAAAGTGCGTTCAATCCCAGACCAAAAGCCGTGGAATCTTTCATGTTCTTGCATGGATACTGACTCCTGCATATCCCAGTCTTTGGCAGGAGCATACGAACAGGAAAATATAAATGTAAAATTCATCCTATAAATTCAGGTGTTTTTTGAGTCAGTGCATCCAGGTGAGTAAAGATTTTTTTTAAACTACTTAAAGTCAGGCACACATGCCAAAATATATATACCAGCTAACAAAACTGGGGGAGGGACTGTCTAAGGATAAAAATGCAGCCCCAAGGTTTGACCTTCAGGTTCTATCTGAAACAATGCATTATATAGAATATGATTTAAAATTAAAGGAGTTAAAAATACAAATCAATATACTTATCTATAGATTTTCCTCACTATCCAAAAGTAGCAACATTCGTATTTAGTATAACTTGATGGGTTACTTGGGACCTATAAATACAATTACCACCAATTATATAGACCTTTTTTAGTGTTTCTAGACCGCAAAATATACCTATCAAATTATGTTAGATAGAAATGGTCTACATTTAAATGGTGGAAGAACTCCATAAGATGGTTTGGATGAAGTAAAACATAGCGCTTAAGTCCTCTCCATCATTTTTGTCTTCCCCACCCTCACTAATCCTTTTCCCCTTCCTTAATCAAGATACCCTTAGTTGTATCTGGATAAATATTTTTATTTGGAATCAGGAAGATATCTTGAACCACTACTACACATGCTTGGGATACAGGAACCAGGGTTCAATTCCTGGCTCTGAATGGCCCCATCAGCATCACTGCTTTCAATTTGTGAACAAAACATAGACTAGCCCTTGAAGTTCCCTGGAGGTAAAGGTAAAGGTAAAGGCCCTCCCGTTGATCGTCGATTTGCTCGAGCGGGCCCAGTAACGTCTCCATTGGAGACTTTGTTGTTACTGTGTCTGGCATATCGAATACGTCACGGGGAGCTTGCCAGGCTCTGCCGTGAGGGTGAGATACTCTCGGTAGCTTGCCGGGCTCTCCGAGAGGGGCGGAGGAATCGAACTTGGGTCGGCCATGTTGGCCGCTTGTAAGGCGAACGCCCTACCACTGTGCTATCGCTCCAGGCTGGAGCGATAGCACAGCGGGTAGGGCGTCTGCCTTGCACGCAGCCAACATGGCCGACCCGAGTTCGATTCCTCCGCCCCTCTCGGAGAGCCTGGCAAGCTACCGAGAGTATTCGATATGCCAGACACAGTAACAACAAAGCCTCCAATGGAGACGTTACTGGGCCTGCTCGAGCACATCGATGAAGTTCCCTGGAGGATGACTAAAATAATAATCCCCCTGCTCCCCCCCAAAAAAAATTATTATTTGATGGTTTAAGCCTGAATGCCTATTTATTTCAAAATACACATTTCAGGTTAGCAGTATATCTAACCTGAATCAATATCATCTAGCTCTTTAGTACCGAGCTAAGTTTTAGCTCGTACTGAAGCATAGACTAACTTTAGCATAGACTAACTTTTATGCTGCGAAGGATACAACTTTATACCTATATCCCTGGTGTTTCCATTTTTCTACCTTTTCTTTCTCCCAGAGTAGCCACTGTCCCCTGGTTTTCTCACAGCCAGGATGATCCAGATCCTTTCTGATTCCATGAGCAGTAGGTTATTGCTGGGACAGGGGCAACCCTCAGAGCAGGGACTGAGAACCCCTTCGTGAAGAGCATGTAAATTTATTGTGAATACGTTGGGATTTAAAGATTTTTTAAATTTTATAAAATTTTAGGCATCGTGATCTACAGTACCATTAAAGATAGAGCTTCATACATCGGTTCCAACATCACAGCATCAAAAGGAAGTTTTTTTTTTAAAAAACTTGCCATTGAATAAAAACAAAAGTTGTATGTCCTAAATATATTTGTAAATCAATAAAATATATTACTTTAAAGCTTATAAAGGAAAGGAAATATGTTCTTTGCTTTAAATATAAAACTTGACTCTGTACTGAAGAGCTAGATGAGAAGAAAAGTCATTGGGAAAACAGTTGAAAAAATTCAACTTTGGGCAAAGGTTTCCTTTCTTCAGCTGCACTTTCTCTAACGATGAGAATTTGGAATGAACTTCCTCTAAAGTCTCTTCTAGATAAGAAATTCTTAGAAACTTATCATTATGCAATATTAAATTTTTCTCAGAAGTTTATTTTTGAAGCATGTTTTCTAAAATATGATTTTAGCGTTGTTTTTGTTTCATTACTTCTTATAAATTTGTGTCTACTATTAATTATATATAAAAACTTGAGTTTAACTTTATGAAAATAATAAGTCATATTTAGTAGATTATCATCAATATAGAACAGTTTTAGTCTCCCTAGAACACCAGAAGTTATAGTTTGTAATGTGAAAGAACAAGGTGTTCACTTAAAATGTCATTTTTACAATGGTGGCTTATCTTTTCAAATGTCTTGGAATTGGCTTCTATATAGAAAGTATTATTTAATTTGAATGAAACTACAATATGTTCCTCAGCTTAAGATAAATACGTTTATTTTATGATACAAAACATTGATATACATGCTACATCTAAAAATAATTTTTTTCAGGGGGACAAAGGAAGTCAAGGTGAAAAGGGCATTCAGGTATGTTGCTGGCTTTTGAGTGTTGGCAATAGAAATTTGTTCTTTTTCTCTTACATTGTTTTTTCAGCTCTATTCCAGCTCCTATGTCTAACTGTTGAAACCCAACTTCCTGCTTTTGCTACTAAACTTCTCAGCAAGCACCAAATACAACTTTAAGGGTCTTTACTACTTTACTGCTGAAGAAAATTTGAAAATCAAATTATTTAACAAATTTTAAGAATGGGTCATATTCACACAGATATATATTTGTGTGTTTTATGCTTATGTCCCATGTGTACATATTAAAATTTCTACTTGAAATATTAGTTGGATGTCTCATATACCTCAGTACGTACAAAATAGAATTTGTCACATTTCCAATTAACCATGTCTACTGATAGATTCCTAGTCATGGTAACTGATACCACCATGGTAACTGATATTTCCAAGGGAGGAGGATGACTCCCATTTTGGAAGTCATCCTAAGAATGAACATTGCCCTCTTTTCTGTATCCAGTTTCACACCTAGGCATATCTTGAACTTGGCCCCTAACCCTGTCTCTGTCCAGGTCTCCCTTTTCCACATACCTCTACTTTTGTCCCTGTGCAAGAGATGGTGTAATTCAGCTAGACATCTGATTAGAAATTCTTTAGTGGTGTCACACACAAATTCCAGAATATCTATCATTTAACTTGTCTTCTTTTTTTAATTTTAATTTTTTTTTATTTTTAGCACAGCGGGTAGGGTGTTTGCCTTGCACATGGCCGACCTGGGTTCGATTCCTCCATCCCTCTCAGAGACCCTGGCAAACTAACGAGAGTATCCCTCCCGCAGAGCCTGGCAAGCTCCCCGTGACGTATTCGATATGCCAAACACAGTCACAACAAGTCTCACGATGGAGACGTTACTGGGCCCACTTGAGCAAAGCCATGAACGATGGGAGCACAGTGCTACAGTGCTAACTTGTCTCCTGACTTGACTATGGCTGTATCTCATTAGTCTCCTCTTGCCATTTTGCCCAGTAATATTTACTCTTGTCCCTCTGCTTTAGACAGAAGGAATTGCTTATTCCTGTCCTATAAATTCACTCCTGGTATATTATCCTATTGACTCTCTGAAGGCGACCTTACACTCATTCTTAGCAACTGCACTTCAGTTGAAATTTCCATTCTCTTCCTCATGACCCTTTTCATGTTCCAATAAAAAGCCCAGATGTTTGATTTTATGTTGTTTAAGCACAAACAACATAAAATCTATTCTGAATTGATTCTTCCCTACTATAGACTAACTTAAATTCTGTAATGATACCTTTATTTCAGTGACCCTGATTTACCGTCAATAGATGCCACTTAATAAGTTTGAGGCATTTACTTATGTAAAAGAAAAAATCACTATGCAAAAGTGATCTAAAATTTAACCACCACATTTTTATTACGGAGTCATTATTGTCCCACTCTACATTTTGTTCAACATAGTTTTTATTCAACATCAGGAAGAATAGCATTTGGGCATTTAGAAAAATATTTTCTATAGAATAGGTGTATAAAAATATTTATTAAATTGGCAAATTTATTTATAGCCTCACTGATTTTTCCTTAACCCAATTTGAAGAACTTCATGTTATTTTCGTTATATTTTTCTTCTTTTAAAAAATCCTTTTTAAGGTATATTCTTGTCCTTGGGGCCAGAGTGATAGTACACTGGGTAGGGCTTTTGCCCTGCACACAGCTGACACAGATTCCACTCTTGACATTCCATATGGGCCCCAGAACACCATCAAAAGTGACCCCTGAGCTCAAATCCAGGAGAAAGCCCTCGGGACCACCAGGTATGACCCAATATATATACATATATATGTATAAAGGTAAAGGTAAAGGCCCTCCCGTTGATCGTCGATTTGCTCGAGCGGGCCCAGTAACGTCTCCATTGGAGACTTTGTTGTTACTGTGTCTGGCATATCGAATACTCTCGGTAGCTTGCCGGGCTCTCCGAGAGGGGCGGAGGAATCGAAGTCAGGTCGGCTATGTTGGCCGCGTGTAAGGCGAACGCCCTACCCGCTGTGCTATATATATAACTTTATTGTATAAGATAAAACAATGTAAAATATATATTCTTGTCCTCCTGGGAAGAGTCAACATACTAAAATTATGTAATTTAAATTAATATAATGTACAGAGCCATTTAAATTTAAGATTACTTTCTTGCTGATAATATGGATTCTCTCTGCACACAAACTGTAAGATTAGATTCTTTTGATTCACTCTTTTTTTTCCTCAATAAACTACCTTCCCAATTAATCGTATAATTTCACATCTTTGCACCACTGCTTTTCTGATGTTCCCTTCGGACCTTAGAGAGTATATAGTTTGTTTTGTATATGTGATTGCATTGTATCACGATCACGATCAGGATCATCCTGTTGTTTGTCGATTGCCTCGAGCAGGCCCCAGTAACATCTCCTTCGTCCTAGCCCTGAGATTTTTTTTTAAAAAGTGCCATATTCAAGGGTCTTTCAGGGTTAGGAGAATGAGACCCATCATTGTTACTGGTATTTGGCATATTGGGTACGCCACGGGGAGTTTGCCAGACTCTGCCGTGTGGGCAGGCTACATTCGGTAGCCTGCCAGTTTGTCCAAAGTGGGAATGAGATAATAAGATGTCACATGATATGCAAGTAATAAAATTTGCTAAATTTTACAGGGTCAAAAGGGAGAAAATGGAAGACAAGGGAATCCAGGACAACAGGTACTCATTTTTCTTTCATAAAAAATGAGTGTGAAGGGTAAGTAAATGTAAAATATATTTTAAGTAGATGAGGGCAAAATACTACATGGTGGTGATAATAATGACTTGTTGTAATTGTTGTTGTATACTTTAATTTCCCTAACGATACTAATGGTGGCTGTGAAATTTGCTTTTCAGGTATTTTTTCTAACCAAATAAATGAAGGTTGACAATCTCAGCTTTACCTAGAAGTAGTTCTTGGCCCAAACAGCTGTATCATAGTAGTGTCTCTCTACTCAGCAGTTCTTAATTAACTTGATTTTCTTCTTTAAATTTGAGTAGATGAGGCCCTATAGAGTGGAGAAATAGACTTCATTTCCCTCAATTTGGGTAGTGATAGAGTCTTTTATGCTGGAGTCCTATAACAATGTGATTATAAGGGATTGTTGTAGAACATAATACTAGTAAAGACTGTTTTCCAGGGCTAGAGAAATAATACAGGTGAAAACATTCGTCTTGAATACAACCAACCCAGATTTGGTTTTGAGGCAACTCCGAGAAGGAGTTGTATAATATAAGGTATCACTGTCCTCCCGTTGTTCACTGATTTGCTCCAGCAGGCCCAGTAACGTCTCCATTGTGAGACTTGTTACTGTGTTTGGCATTTCGAATACATTACGGGTAGCTTGCCAGGCTTTGCCATGCGGGCAAGTTACTCTCAGTAGCTTGCCGGGCTCTTTGAGAGGGGCGGAGGAATCGAACCCAGGTCTGCCGGGTCAGCTGCATGCAAGGCAAACACCCTACCTGCTGTGCTATTGCTCCAGCCCATAATACAATTATTAGCACAGAGCCAGGAATAGCCTCTGAGTACCATTGGATGTGGCCCAACTTCCCTTACCTTCAATTGGGGAAAAAAAAATATTATTTTTGTTCTTTCTTAACTGAACTCCCCTCACTAAGTAATATTTCAGTGAGATTGCCCTGTATCGTATAATTTTCCATCAGAACCACACTGAACAGCAACAGGTAAACTAATGAAAGTAGTTTGTGCACACGCTGTGTGTTTGCCGATGCCCTCTTTGCAATTCAGTGTCGACATCTATTCTAACTATCTCTTGGTCTGTCCTGAAAGAGAATTACCTGAGGTGCCAGGGGTTGAACCTTGGTCAACGTCATGCAAGGCAAGTACTTTGCCTTACTATCTCACCAACCCCTAAAAAAGGTTTGAATTTTTCCTCTGATACTGGCTCAAGATTTAAGAATATGTTTCTTCACATAGTACACTTCCATTTCCTCAGAAACAAGCCTCAGTAGTTTAAGAATGGTCTCCTGTTAACACAGGAATATTGAATCTTTTTAGGAAAACTAAAATATTAGCGCTTTTATGCTCAGATTGCCTAGCTTTATCTCTTTTTTCCTTCCCTTTTAGCTAATCTGGATATTCTTGTTTCAGGAAACTGGAAGTAAATAACATCTCAAACTTTTATCATATGAAATTTTCTGAATTTCACATTGAATTGTAGAACAGCAGCTTTTCTTTTTAACATTGAAAACAGATGAGAAAGATAGTACAGGGTTAAGACGCTTGCCTTGCAGGCTGCCAACCCTGTTTCAATCCACTGCACCACGTATGGTCCCCTGAGCATCCCCAGGGACCACTTCTGAACACAAAACCAAAAATAAGCTCTGAGCACTACTGCCTGGTGTGACCCCAAATTCAAACTTCCCCATTCAAAGTAACCAAAAAAGTTGAATAATGAAAACTCTTCTGTGCATGTTAAGGTTATAATCTTTTTCTTGAACTGATGTTGGGTGATGTTAGAACCTGACTACACAATGGATTTAAAAATAGACTATTTGAATGTCTTGCCTAAAAGTTCTTACCATTTATAATACATATTATTGCCAGTTATTTCATTGTGAGTTAGCTCTGCACATTGGCTCTCCAGTTTTTATATTACTGGGGAGAATATGTTATCTATCATAGTGCTGCTCAAATCTCTGAATTTAAACAAAAAGTGATTGAAGCACAGGGTAATTAGGCTTTTTATCTATGAATCACTTTTAATGATATGTTTGTTTTAACTTCTTTTTCACAGTAGTAAACCAAAATTTTAATAAGAAACATAGTTTACAAGAATAGAATGACCATTTTAATTACAGGATAAATAAATAAGGATAGTTTATCCTAATTGACTTGAAAGTTGAATTTTCTCTTAAAATAGTAGATTTTAAGGGCTGGAGCAACAGCTCAGTGGGTAGGGCATTTGTCTTGCACACAGCTGACCTGGGTTCGATTCCCAACATCCCATATGTTCCCCTGAGCACCACCAGAAGTGATTCCTGAGTGCAGAGCCAGAAGTAACTTCTGAGCATTGCCAGGTGTGACCCATAAAAGCAAAAAAAGGAAAAGGTAGATTTTTTAAATTAATTTTTAATTAGTGAAACACCATGAGGTACAGTTGTAGACTTACAGCCTTTCGTGCTTGGGTTTCAGTTATACACTGATCAAGTACCCATCCCTCCACCAGTGCCCATTCTTCAACACCACTGATCCCAGTAGCCCTCCCACCCCCACACCCCATCTCCTCCACCCCACCCCACCTCTGTGGCAGGGCATTCCCTTTTGCTCTCTCTTTCCTTTAGGGTGTTGTAGTTTGCAATAGAGATATTGAGTGGCCATCATGTTCTGTCTATAGTCTACTTTCAGCACGCATCTTGCATCCCAAGCGAATCCTCCAAACATCCTTTACTTGGTGTTCCCTTCTCTATCTGAGCTGCCTTTTTCCCCCAGCAAGGGCTGCCGGCTTCTAAGCCCTGGAACAGACCTCCTGGTACTTATCTCAACTCTTCTAGGGTGAAAAAAATACTAGATTTTAAATTCAGAACAGAATTTATGTGGAATTCAGGTAGAATCCCAGTTTAACCTACATATTTGATCTATAATATATAAAATATATATTTTAAGTGTATATATAATAATAAAACACTAATGTAAATTGATTTTGTCTTGTTTGTGCTCAGGGCTTATTCATAGCTTTGAGCTCCTGGCGGGACTCAGGGGACCATATCGGGTGGAAAGGATTGAACCTAGGTCAGCCACATGCCCTACTTGCTGCACGATTGCTCCGGACTCTGAAAATTTTTTAAAAATTTTTAAATAATTTTAAAAATTGTATTATTGGGTCTGGAGCGATAGCACAGCGGGGAGGGCATTTGCCTTGCACGCAGCTGACCTGGGTTCGATCCCCAGCATCCCGTATGGTCCCCTGTGTATTGCCAGGAGTGATTCCTGAGTGCAGAGCCAGGAGGAACCCTTGTGCATCGCCGGGTGTGACCCAAAAAGAAAATAAATAAATAAATAAATAAATTTTTTAAAAAGTTGTATTCAGTTATTGTCATTAGTCACTAGCCTCCTTTTCTCTTGTTATGAGGATTGCTCCGTGATTTGGGGGTAGGAGATTGCAGTGATGTGGGAGGTAGCTTGGAATAGCAAAGCACACTTGAGACACATCAAAGAGCCTTAAAGAGGCAGAAAAGAGGCTATTGCATATGAAATTCTGTGGATGCTGTTCTCAATATTTTCCAAAGGAGAATAAAATTTGATTAACCATGTGGCAAACGGGTCATCCCACCTTACTAATACAGTACCTTGCACAGAAAAAATAATAGAAAATTATTTTTTCTATTCATTTTCAAGGGAGTTCAAGGCCATCGTGGCGAAAAAGGAGAGGTATGTTTCATCTTGTATTACACAATTCAGTTTTTATTGGTTAATGACATCTACATTGACATCATTTTGCCACATACTGGCATCGGGATCAGAAAATGACTATCATGTCCTGTTAAATATGGATTTTCCAAAAATGGAGATTCGTGGTATTACATGTAACATATTAAGCATTTGTAATTATTTTATTCATTTTTTTCTGTTTGAGAGCTTAGTTTTCCTTGCATATTTGTCATTGAATATTATGCTTCTAATTTTTTCTCTCTTGGAGAGCCCAGCAAGCTACCGAGAGTATCTTGCCCACACGGCAGAGCCTGGCAAGCTACCCGTGACGTATTCGATATGCCAGTCGCAGTAACAACAAGTCTTACGATGGAGACGTTATCAGGCCTGCTCGAGCAAATCAATGAACAATGGGAGGACCGTGACCGTGACCGTGATTTTTGTCTAACATAAATTCCTTAGTAACAGGATTGAGCCAAGTTCTTTTAGCATGGTCCATACTGCCTGCACAGTATACTTAGAGGGTTGGATGGATGGGCAGATGGATGAAGAGACAATAGTATAATGAGATACGTAATGTCCAATAAGTAGCGATTATTTCCTAACAATCTCCTATAAAGTTTAAATACATCTATACATAATCTTAACTCATGAAATGTTTAACTAGACCTTCTAATGCATTTCCCTTTTTGTTTTTATTTTTAAAGAGAGGTGAAAAGGGAGAACCAGGGATCAGAGGAGCCACTGGAACAAAAGGAGAAACTGGGGTGAATGGACCCCTGGGGCCTGCAGGCCCCCAGGGGCATCCAGGGGCAACCGGGCCTCGGGGACCCCCAGGATTAAATGGAAAACCCGTATGTAATGCGCTTCTTTTAAAGTTTCCGTTTTTATTGTTTTTTTAACTTGGTATTGATATGCTATAACCCTTCATAATTTGATGCAGGCAAGGGAATTTTCAGAACAGTTTATTCGACAAGTTTGTGCAGATGTAATAAGAGGTAAGTATCATGCATAGTTTTAAATAACATTTTTCACATAAGAAAAGTAATACATATTTTTGGATAGAATTGTGAAAGATGTAAGAAAATATAAAGAACATTAGTGAAGATGTTTTATGGGCATTTTTGAAAAATATTAATATTCTTATAAAGTATCTTTATGAAATGAAAATTATGTGGTAACTTTTCATAGAGCAATTTATTATGTTATCATTTAATTCTGTATAAAATAATTATCATTACTCATTTCTTAAATATGGTAGTTAGTAATTTCAAGGCTTTTCTTTTGGTGAGCATTTTGTTTCCTTTTATTTAAGCAATTTCGACAATTAAAATGATTGCAAACCATTATTCATCTCCGTAGTTTAATTTATAGACATGAAATTATTAGCCTCAAAATATCCAGAAATTTCTTTCAATGATCCAGTTAACTCCCACTCGCTATTTAAATGTAAGGGGTGTGATGATTTTTTTGTCTTTCAGCCCAGCTACCAATCTTACTTCAGAGTGGAAGAATCCAAAGTTGTGACCGCTGCCAGCCCCAGCGTGGTTCCCCAGGTATTCCTGGACCGCCTGGGCCCATAGGTCCTGAAGGGCCTCGGGGACTCCCAGGCTTGCCAGGTGGAGATGGTGTTCCCGGATTGATGGGTGCTCCAGGGCGCCCAGGGCCCAGAGGACTAAAAGGTACTTAACCTGTGTACATAAGCAAATGAACAGCAATAATAAAGCATTTTTTAATTGTATTTACATTCTAAATTCATTTAATAGGCGAGTTCATCTATATTTTAATGATGACAGCAATAAAAAATGCCTTTTACAAATCCTTATGTCAACTCAGTTCAAAAACAATTATTATGTTTTCCTGAAGTACAATAAATAAAGATCCTGGAGACAGAGACAGAGAGGGGCCTAAGCTATGAGACATCTGAAGCTGGTAAATGAGAAAATGTTGACAATGCACTTAAGGGCTCTATGAATCTAATAAGTTGCTTAGAATTAAAATCTCAGACCTGTATTTTGACTCTGACAACTCTGTTTCCATATTCAAAAAAAAATTTTTTTTTATTAGTGAGACATCATGAGGTAAAGTTGCAGACTTACAAATTTTTGTGTTTGGGTTTCGATTATACAATGATCAAACACCCATCCCTCCACCAGTGCCCATTTCCCACCACCACGGATCCCAGTATCCCTCCCACCCCTCATCCCCCCCATCCCACCCTGCCTCTGTGGCAGGGCATTCCCTTTTGTTCTCTCTCTCTTATTCGGTGTTGTGGTTATATTCAAAAATTTCTAAAGAAAAATTATTTTTAAGACTCTATCCTAGTATCACATAACTTCTCTTTGTCTTTGAATATTTATATGATATAATGGTTGAAAGTACTTCCCTTTTATTTAATAACTATTTGATCAATTTATATATTTCATCAAAGTAATGAACAGTTATGGTCAACAGAAAAGCTGAAAACCACCACAAGTCATGTTCTTTTCTTAGTACTCAATCTCCATCAAATCATTTTGGAAATGTAAAAGAAATTCATTTTAAATTTTAGAAATTATTCTTCAAAACTTATTTTGCATTAGTAATAATGATTAGCCAGGGACTGGAGCAATAGCACAGCAGGTAAGGCGTTTGCCTTGCATGCGGCCAACCCGAGTTCGATTCCCAGCATCCCATATGGTCCCCCGAGCACCGCCAGGGGTGATTCCTGAGTGCAGAGCCAAGAGTAACCCCTGTGCATCGCCAGGTGTGACCTCACCCCCCAAAAAAATAACGATTAGCCAGCAAGCTATTTTTTTCATTATTTATTTTTAGGTTGGAGGTAAAATACAGAGGGCAAGGTACCTGCAGGGCATACTGCTGACCTGGTTCCATCCTGGGCACTGCATAGAGTCCCCAGCACTGTCAAGAGTGATCCCTGTGATAGACACAGAAAGGTTGCATTCATCTGGGTAACATAAAGAAACAAAATAGGAGACTAACACCCAAGAGTGGCCAAGATTAGTACCAGAAATTTTGCTTCATGGCTTGGAGGCCAGCCACACATGCTAGGGGAAAAGGGAGCTCAGATAGAGAAGGGAGCACCAAATAAAGGGTGTTGGGAGGATCCTCCCAGGATGGGAGAAGCATGCTGAAAGTGGACTATAGACCGAACATGATTGCCACTCAATGCCTCTCTTGCAAAACACAGTACCCAAAAGAAGAGAGAGAGAACAGGGGGGAATGCCCTGCCACAGAGGCAGAGTTGGATGTGGGGGGGGGGGGACGGGCAGGGGAGGGATACTGGGACCCGTGGTGGTGGAAAATGGGCACTGGTGAAGGGATGGGTACTTGGTATAACTGAAACCCAAGCACAAAAATGTGTAAGTTTACAACTGTACCTCATGGTGTCTCACTAATAAAAATTAAATAAATAAATAAATAAAAAGAGTGATCCCTGAGCACAGAGATAGGAGTAAGCTCCAAGCACCACGGAGTGTGGCCAAAAAACAAAAAAAAAATTTATTTATTTTGATATGTGTATTAATATTGCATAAGAATCTATCGAGGCAGTCATTGTACAGAAAATATACGCTCACTCCCATATTTGATACTTTTCAGGCCTACCAGGAAGAAATGGGGCAAAGGGGAACCAAGGGTTTGGGTACCCTGGAGAACAAGGTCCTCCTGGCCCACCAGGTAAGACTGAGTATATGCTCGTAGGTGCTGGACAGATTTTACTTTAAGATATTCACTCTGCCACTGAGGATGATGGGGTGGTGGGGAGGTTTATTGATTGAGAGGGGAAACACACGTGGAGGGTGTAGTTTTGGAACACAATGTACGAAACACTATCATTACATTATAATTAATAATTTGCTTAACATTAAAAATAGCACAAAGCAAACAAAAACAAACACTGTCCTCCCATCGTTCATCGATTTGCTCGAACGGGCCCAGTAACGTCTCCATTGTGAGACTTGTTGTTTCTGTGTTTGGCATATCGAATACGTCACGGGGAGCTTACCAGGCTTTGCCATACAGGTGAGATACTCTCAGTAGCTTTGCCGGGCTCTCCAAGAGGGGCAGAAGAATCGAACCCAGCTCGGCCAGGCTGGCAGCACACAAGACAAATGCCCTACCGCTGTGCTATCACTCCAGCCCAATTAAAAATGGCATTAAGTAAAAGTTAAGAAAAAGAGAAATTTATCATTGTGGGCCCGAGAATTAGTTTAGAGGTAAAGGAACCTGCCATGTGTGTGGCTGCAGACATGACAATGGTTTAAAGCCTGGCATCACATGTGGCCCCTTGAATATTGCCAAGTGTACTGCCCAACTGTAAAGCCATGAGCATTGCTAGGAGGGGCCCAAATGGGAATAAAAATAATAAAATTTGGAGTGATAGCACAGCGGGTAGGGCATTTGTCTTGCACGATGCTGACCTGGGTTCGATTCCTCCATCCCTCTCGAAGAGCCCGGCAAGCTACCAAGAGTGTCGTGCCTGCACGGCAGAGCCTGGCAAGCACTCCGTGGCATATTTGATACGCCAAAAACAGTAACAGCACGTCTCACAATGGAGACGTTACTGGTGCCTGCTCGAGCAAATCGATGAACAACAGGACGACAGTGCTACAGTGCTACTATAAATCTCTGTCAAGGACTAAAGAGATAGTATGTGTGTTAAGCTGTGCAGCTGACCCCAGTTTGATCCTTGAGACAATATGATCTCCCCAACACCCCTGGAGTGACCGCTCCCTCTCCCTCTCTCTCTCTCTCTCTCTCTCTCTCCCCTCTCACTTCCTCCCTCCCTCTCCTCTTCTCCCTCTTTCACTCTCTCTTTCTTTCTTTCTTTCTTTCTTTCTTTCTTTCTTTCTTTCTTTCTTTCTTTCTTTCCCTCTTTCCCTCTTTCTCTCTTTCTCTCTCTCTCTCTCTCTTTCTTTCTTTCTTTCTTTCTTTCTTTCTTTCTTTCTTTCTTTCTTTCTCTCTTTCTCTCTTTCCCTCTTTCCCTCTTTCTCTCTTTTCTCTCTTTCTCTCTTTCTCTCTCTTTCTCTCTTTCTCTCTTTCTCTCTCTCTCTCTCTCTCTCTCTCTCTCTTTCTCTCTTTCTCTCTTTCTCTCTTTCTCTCTTTCTCTCTTTCTCTCTTTCTCTCTTTCTTTCTTTCTTTCTTTCTTTCTTTCTTTCTCTTTCTCTCTCCAGAGGACCATCAGGAGTAACTTCTGAGCACAGTCAAGAGTAACCCCTGAGCACTGCCACATAAAAAAAAAATTTACTCAGTTTGGTCCATTTAGAAAAGGACCAAACTATTAGTTTCTGGTGCCTCACTGAGGAAACCTGGCGTGGTTCTCCCCACAAAAAAAAAAAAAAAAAGTTTAATTTTTTTTTAATGAAAATTACTCATTACTCAGGCTACAGTGGGTAGGGCATTTGCACTACATGCAGTCAGGCCAGGTTTGATCCCGGGCACTCATCATGTTCCTGTAAGTGTTGCCAAGATTGATCCCTGAGTGCAGAGCCAGGAGTGAGCAAAGAATCACTGAGCACTTTTGGATGGTTCTTTATATCATAATACCTCCCCTTGAGGCCAGAGAGATGACTCAGCAGACTGGAGCACATGATTTGGATGCAGCTGGTCCAGGATTGATCCCTGACACTGTGTGGTTCTCCAGGCATCACCAGAAGAAATCACCAACTATTGAACCAGCTGTTAGCCCTGAGTGAGCCACATGTGACCTAAACACCCCTAAACTCTCCCCAATGAAAACAAAAAACAATTTGTTCTTTTTTCTGAATGTTGCAATACATAAAATATTTGAATGGGTTTTTTTTTCCAGTTTAAATTTACAATAGCATCAGCTCTATGTCATCAAAAACCAAACTCCTTCACTTACATGTTTCTAATGTCTCCTCCTAGGTCCAGAGGGTCCTCCTGGGATAAGCAAAGAAGGTCCCCCAGGAGACCCAGGTCTCCCTGGCAAAGAAGGAGACCATGGAAAGCCTGGGATCCAGGGGCAGCCGGGGCCCCCTGGCATCTGTGATCCATCACTGTGCTTCAGTGTAATGGTTGGGAGAGACCCATTTAGAAAAGGACCAAACTATTAGTTTCTGGTGCCTCGTTGCGCAAACCTGGCGTGGTGCTTTTCTTTTGTGGTCTTTTGCATCTCAGGAAGAAAACGAACAGTAATTCCTTTAACAGAAACTAAAGTACCTCGGTGTTTTATTATTTTTTCCTCAAGGAAAACTAAATAAAAGGTCACATATACTGATATTTTAGGACTCTTCAGTCATTTTAGAGCCTTTAGGTTAGTTGCACTAAAATTCAAGGGTATCTTGGAAGTTCATGTGTTTATATCGAAGCTGAATAGAAAGAAATTACCATTGCCTTGTTAGCCAGTCAATTTTAGTCACTGTGAAAATTTTCACATTCATCCTCCATGATGAACAGAGTATTTGACTTCAATTTCATGTCTGTGTGAATTGTGTGTTTCATATCTAACTGCCCATGTTTCTGCGTGAGCTCAAATATGTGTCTGGTCATTGGAAATAAGATCAAGGCTAATTGATAGCTTGGTCTGGTAACAGTCCGTATTGAAGAGGGTCAGTGGAATTTGGATGTTCAATGTTTTGAATATCAACTCAGAATAAGATTACTTTGCTCCTTATTTCCTTTGAAAAATCACATATTTGATTAATGTTTATGACAGGATAGGATACTGATTACATAGGGAATGGTCAAAATTATGTAATATTTAAAGGCTGTAGTAAAAATTGTTACATTGTAACTGGTTAGTACATTTGAGGAAAATTCAAGTTTAGAAATAAGAGAGGTTTTTTCCTTCATAGTTGCTGAGCAATTGGAATGTTTGTAACATGCCTTTTTTTTTCATTTCACTTATTATATGTGTACATTCATATATGTTAACTTTCCTTGTAGCAAATCTAATTGGAATACTCTGTTGGAAAGTAAAGGTAACTCCACTTCATGTCCTAATATGTCCTGATGATTTTAGCAGTTTTTAAAATATTCCAATCACTGTGTACTGTACTTCATGCTTTGGAAGGAATATGATTTGAGAAATTTCGTGCTTATCATGCTCAAATTTTGTTACATGCTTGTTATTGAAAGTACAATAAAGTTTGTACAGGCCTGGTTGCATTGTCTTATATTTAATTCAATGATGAGAGCAATACCCATTTCATTCAATGGGTAGCGTTTATTGAATTTACTCTATCCTTCATTTCTTTATTTGTTTTGGAACCAGACCCAGTAAGTTCAGGGCTTACTCCTGGCTTTGTGCTCAGGTTCACTCTTGATGGAGCCCAGGGACCCTACACGAGACCTGGAATTGAACCCCAGTTGGTTATATGCGTGGCAAGCACCTTTTCCATTGTACTATCTCTCTGGCCCTATCCTGTTCTTAAATAGCTAGTTTTTCTGTAATAGGAAATTAGAAATTCAGTAGTAATTTGCTCCCTGCAATTACAGTTGGTCAGTGTCGAGCTTTATTTAGACTTTCTGTCATTCTGAGGGCTTTGGAGAACACTAAAGTACAGGACTTTTAATGGCTGGATTAGTATAAGGCCTGTTTTAAAGTTCTATTTGCAGTCAAATCCCTGGGACCTGCTCAGCCCAGTCCTCCTACTACTCCTGTGGCATTGCAGTCACTTTTATTTTCCTTTTTTTTTTTTTTATTAGTAAAACACCATGAGGTACAGTTATAGACTTACAAATTTTTGTGCTTGGGTTTCAGTTATACAATGATCAAGTACCCATCCCTCCACCAGCGCCCATCCTCCACCAAGACGGGTCCCAGCATCCCTCCCACCCCCACCCCCCCCGTTCCCCCCATCCCACCCTGCCTCTGTGGCAAGGCATTCCCCTCTGTTCTCTCTCTCCTTTTGGGTGCTGTGGTTTGCAAAAGAGGCGATGGGTGGCAATCATGTTTGATCTATAGTCTACTTTCAGCATGCTTCTCCCATCCTGGGAGAATCCTCCCAACACCCTTTATTTGGTGCTCTCTTCTCTATCTGAGTTGTCTTTTCCCCTAGCAAATGTGGCTGGCCTTCAACCCTTGTACAGGAGAATAGGGCAGTCGATATCATTTCATTTGACCAATGTTGACCATTCAATGCCAAGTATTATGCAAGGGGTCCCACAGCAATACAGTTCTGAGGGTATCTATTTAATGAAGACAGGGAAATAGACAGGTGATTCTAATACGTTAATTCAAAAAAGAAGAAGTCTACAGAAGTATCTAAAGTGATGCTGCCAATTAAATTGTCTCCCTCCCAAATTCATAAGTCAAAACTTAAACAGCTCTGTGACTGTATTTAAAGAGAGGACATTTATGGGGTTGGAATGATAGCACAGCGGGTAGGGCATTTGCCTTTCACACGGCCTACCTAGGTTCAAATCCCATATGGTCCTCTGAGCACTGCCAGGAGTAATTACTGAGTGCAGAGCCAGGAATAACCCCTTTGCATCATTGGGTGTGACCCAAAAAGCAGAAAAATAAAAATAAAAAAAATAAAGAGGACACTTAGAAAATAATTAAGGTTACATAAGATCCTAAGTTATGGGCTATGGAATGAAATTATTTTTGAGGCCTTCAAGGAAGAGAGATGCTTCCACAAGTACTCAGAAGAAAAAAAAAAAAACATGTGACAGTAATAAGGCAACTATCTATAAATGTGCAAATAAAAAAAAAAACACTAACAAAAACATACCTTGAACTTGATTCCCAGCCTCTAAAACTGTGAGAAAATAAATTTCTGTCGTTTAAACCCACCCAGCCTAGGATACTTTGTTCTGACAGACCAAACCGAATAAAACAGAAAACTTCCCTTGAAACAAGTATTTCAGCAGATTTGAAACATTTGCAAAGATATTGACTTAACTCATCTATAAATGACATACCTGCATAACTAAGTCAGATCAAGATAATGGAAACAATTGGGCCATTAGTGAAAATATGAAAATATGGAAGGTAAGTAGACAAAAAAACTTAGGAGGGCAGAACAGCCGTATAAAGGGGCACCTCGGGCCAGCCCCTCAACCTCACCCATTTTGCTTCTCGGAGAGCTTGGCTCTAGGACCCTGCCCACAGTTCCGGAACCAAGTAGCCTAGCCTGGCGCTGTGTTCCCTGGACCTGTGTGATCCCCACCAGGCCCCAAGAGAGTACCAAACAATGACCCTGATGCAGAACCCACCATCTCACCCAAGTACGTTCTTCCTTCATATTCCGTGGGGATCACATTTTTGAACTCTGGCACTGAACTGGAGTCCACTGCAAAGCAAACACCCAGGGCTGAAGCCATAGCACAGTGGGTAGGGTGTTTGCCTTGCACGCGGCCAACTGGGGTCGATTCCCAGAATCCCATATAGTCCCCCGAGCACCGCCAGGAGTAATTCCTGAGTGCATGAGCCAGGAGTAACCCCTGTGTATAGCCAAGTGTGACCCAAAAAGCGGAAAAAAAAGAAAAGCAAACACTCTGCCAGCTAAACGACCTCTGACCCTATGTGCTGATTTTTAAGAAAGAATAAGTGAATAATGCTGAAAGTAGACTCTAGACCGAACATGATTGCCACTCAATGCCTCTTTTGCAAACCACAACACCGAAAAGGAGAGAGAGAATAAAAGGGAATGCCCTGCCACAGTAGCAGGGTGGGATGGGGAGGATGGGGGGTGGGAGGAATACTGGGACCCATGGTGGTGGAAAATGGGCACTGGTGGAGGGATGGGTGTTTGATCATTGTATAATTGAAACCCAAGCACAAAAATTTGTTAAGTCTACAACTGTACCTCATGGTGTTTCACTAATAAAAATTTTTAAAAAAAGGTAAAGGTAAAAGGTAAAGGCCCTCCCGTTGATCGTTGATTTGCTCGAGCGGGCCCAGTAACGTCTCCATTGGAGACTTTGTTGTTACTGTGTTTGGCATATCGAATACTCTTGGTAGCTTGCCGAGCTCTCCGAGAGGGGCAGAGGAATCGAACTCGGGTCGGCCATGTTGGCTGCTTGTAAGGCGAACGCCCTACCCGCTGTGCTATATTTTTTTCTTCAAATACAGTCTATATCAGAAGGTGTATTCACAAATTGTTACATACAAGGCTCTTGTGTTCTAGCAATACTATGACTTCTGTAGTGAAACTGTCAATGTCATTTTCTAGCTGTCAATGTATCTCCTCAGAAAAGCTATTTACTTCTTTTTTTTATTATTTTGTGTTATATTTTTAGTTGAATCTCCATGAGATACAGAGTTACAAAGCTGATTATGTCCGGGTTTCAGTCTAACAATGTTCCAACACCCATCCCTCCACCAGTGTACATTGGAGTCCACATTTCTCCTATGTTCAATAGGGACTATTCCTAGCCTTTACCCCATAGTGTTAGAAGGATTAACTGAGAGAAAACAAAGTAATTGATGTTATAAAGTCCAATAGGTTACCAGAACATCAGATAATATGTGGAGCTCACCAGTGTAAGATGAAATATTAATTTTTTCCAGTGGGCCAGAAAGTACATAAATTAAGGTCTAGGCCTATGTGCAGCCAATTATGGTTAGCTCCCTGGAATCACATGATCTGCAGAGAATTTCAGCCGGCCCTGGAGACCCCTGAACACGCCACCGGGCATGGGGGAGCTTGAACAACACCACCACATCCTTAGACCTTCAAACTGGGTCTCTGAAATGTCTCGGTAAGGGACTCTGGGCTTCCTCAGCACCTCTTATCCTCACCCCTAATTTTTTTCCCAAAGATTTTGCGTCTAACCAGTACTAAGAAAATTAATCTGATTCACTGTTATTCAGAATAAAGCTCTCAGACTTATCAGTAAAAATCATTTTCATGAGGACCAGAACAATAGTACAGCTAATAGGGCTTTTGCCTTACAAGTGGCTGACCCAGGTTCATTCCATCCTCTGTATCCTATATGGGGGTCCCCCAAGCACTGTCAGGAGTAACTCTTGAGTGCAGAGCAAGGAGACTCGCTGAGTGTGACACAAATAGCATAATAATAATAGTAATCACAATCACGATCATCCTGTTGTTCGTCGATTGCCTCGAGAAGGCCCCAGTAACGTCTATTCGTCCTAGCCCTGAGATTTTAAAAAAATGCCATATTCAAGGCTCTTTCAGGATTAGGAGAATGAGACCCATCATTGTTACTGGTATTTGGCATATTGGGTATGCCACGGGGAGTTTGCCAGACTCTGTCGTGTG